CACAGGAGGAGCAGCGTGCTTGATGTCCATGTGGGCATTTGGGTCTATGCAGCTATACAGCATCTCTTCCAACAAGCATCCTCTTTTCCCAGGGCCATGAATTTCTAACCCAGTGTGTGTTGCTGGAGGAGAGAAAAGTGATTTCATATCTTATCACCTGCAGCTGATTGCAGTCCCCGTCTAAACAGTTGCTGCTGGATGTGGCGGGGAATTATATTGGCAAAATACATTATATTTTGCTGTGCAAAACAAGTATCTCGTGAATCAGTGTTAGAATAAAAACTCTCTATGATGTCTACTGAGCCTGTCTGGTGCAGCCCCTAACATGAGCTGAGCCTTTGCTCCTGCAGTGCTCACCAGCTACATTGCACTGTCCACGAGCTCACCTACTTGCCGGTGCCCCGGATCTGCTTTCAAACCTGAGGAAAAAGAGCTTGTTTGGATCCAGCTAGCAAAAAGCATGTGCCGCTATTAAATAAATGATTTATCAGATTATAAAAATAATATGGAGAGTCCTTACACCTGAAAAACAATTAGCAAGTTGTCTGACAAGTATGAGGCTCAGCATTGCAAGGGTTTAAGCAACAGACTGAAACAGCAACTTGCTGTAGTTGTAAATCCCACCAGCTTGCTTTTATAGCTACAAGATTTACTTAAATCTCATTCCTCAACCACGACTGCTTTGAACCAAGTTTTTGGAACTGTAAGCTAATATTTGCCATAATCAGCTTAAAGGGAAGTAGTAGGATGTCTCAGCTGGTCTAAGCATCCCTATTTTTCTTGTACAGAGAAACAGCACCTTTAATGAACACAAGTGATGAGGTGAAATAAACTGCCAGCGCAGTCTTGAAGAGGAGCCGAAGACACAAAGGGACCAGGTAGGGCACCCTAATACAAAAGTAACAGGAGATGCTAAACAGTCGGCTTAAAAGTTCCGACTGGGTAAGAATTATAAGCAACTACTCATGGCTGAGAGCAGCTGGATTTAAAATGAGCATGTGTAACAGGCCACTAGTTCTGCGGAAGGGGCGCCACCACAGGCGGTAGGCGCTGAGGTAGGTGGGCGGGCAGGAGGTGCCGGCAGGCCGGCCCCAGCGGCTGCTGTTTCCCCTCCTCAGCGCTGGCGGGAAGCGTGTGGGGCAGCTGCGTGGCCTCGGCGGGCCCCGCGCGGGGGGAAGTTTGTCTGTGGGCTGCAGCCTCTGAATCATAGTAGCCAAAATGAGAGAGATACAACCTCACAGAGAAAAAAGAGAGCACATTGAGCGGCTGACCGTCTTGTTCTTAAAGAAGGGAGTTAATCTAGCCTAAAACACCTCAGAAAAAGTTCTTAAGAGCCCTTTCACTACTGAGATGCAAGGGCTTGTGAACTAACCAACCGACTTGCAGGAGTGGGGAATCACTGAAGATGACTGGCTGTCGCTACGCATTTCCTTCAGGAACAGCAATACCTCGTGCAGCATCAGCTCACCCATATTAGCACCAATTGGTACAGACCTCGGGTGGCCTGAGTGCCATCAGATAACATGGCATCTTGAGGACCCAGGTTGGACATTGTCTGTGACAAGCCCAGCCTGGCAAAGGGAAGTCACAACACGTGTGTGTGGTTTTGCCTCCCTCAAGAGCAGTAAGGAGATGAGGCACCATTCATTTCCTTGTCTTCCTTGCTCATGTGCCCTTTAAGGCTCTGATTCATTTAGGAATTTAATAAGAGCATCCATAAAACTCCCCTTCATGGCACAGGGCCAGGCTTAAAAACCAACAGCATCTCCTCATGCACAACCAACCTGAGCTCTAATAACACTATCCTCCCTCTTAACTTAATTAAATTAAATTGGCGACTTCTTGTCACCAAGGGCTGCTGTACTTTGTGGTGTTCAGGCGAGACTGCAATACAGCAGAGCACACAGTGATTCACGTTCGTGGGAGAGAATCCTGAGCAACTCGAGCCTGTAAGGGGATGGGAGGGGACACATATTTGCTTTCTCAAATGAATGAAATGGGGGAGGTTCCCACCTCCTCACTACATCAAGGAAATCACATACAAAGCTAGAGTTATTTTTGCCTCAGTATTTTGTTTTGTTTTGGCCACTGAAGACAGAGATACTGAATGACTTCTTGTCCTTGTGCATGGGCCTGGGTGGGAAGCACCCATGAGTGCTGAGGGAGCTGGTGCATGTTACTGCTAGGCCACTTCCAGACGTCTTTAAAAGCTCCTGGTGACCAGGGAAGCTGCCTGAGGACTGGAAAGGAGCTCATGCCACTCCATGCTTCAAAAAGGGGGAAGAAGGAGGGCCCAGGCCAGTCAGCCTCACCTCGGCCCCAGGGAAAGTTATGGAGCAGCTCATGTTGGATACCATTTCCAGGCACTTTAAGGACAAGAAGGTGATCAGGAGTAGTCAGCCTGGATACACTGAGGGGAAATCATGCTTAACCCATCTCATAGCCTCCCATGACGGGATGACTGGCTGGGCAGATGAGGGGAGAGCAGTGAATGTTGTCTGCCTTGTCTTCAGCAAGGCTTTCCACATGGTCTCCCATAACAGCCTCATGGCCAGGATGGTGGAGTATGGACTAGGGGAACAGTGAAGTGGATGGATAACTGTGAGAATAGTGGAGCTCAGAGGGTTGTGACCAGCGGCACTGTCTATTTGGAGGCCTGTAGCCAGTGTCCCCCAGGGGTCAGTATTGGGTCCACTACCTTTTCAACGTCAGTGACCTGGGTGAAGGGGCAGCGTTGCACCCGCGGCTGTTTGAGGTGATACCAAACTGGGAGGAGCGGCTGATAGCCCAAAGGGCTGCGCTGCTGTTCAGAGGGTGCTGAACAGGCTGGAGAGATGGGGAGGACCTCCTGCCCCTGGGGAACAACCTCCTGACCCTGACGGGCAAGCGCAGGGTCCTGCCCCTGGGGAGGAGTAACCCGAGGCACCAGCACAGACTGGGGTGACCTGCTGGAGAGCAACTCTGCAGATGAGGACCTGGGAGCCCTGCTGGGCAAGCTGATCGCGCCAGCAGCATGCCCCTGTGCAAACATCTCTTTGATGGGAACACATTACCCCAGGGCACAAAAAAGAGGAGTCTCCCAGTATTACTCTTCACAGCAGTGAGGCAGTGGAGCGCTAGATGGATCGGTGAATGACTAAATTTGGGCCTTGCATCTGATCTGAAGCAGAAATCCTGGGACTGGCAATGTCTGGGAAGCATGGGGTTACCCACCACGGGGCACTAGCAGGACAGAATACACAGCAGCAGCCCCGCATCCCACTTGTTAAACACGTGCCAGGGTGGTGATGTCTGCGGATAAAAACTGAGGGGCGCAGAAAGATTTTGCAAGCGTGGCCGCGAGGGCAGGGGTAAGCGCAATCCTGGCATCTCTAGCAGAGCGAACGCTACCTCTGCTCCACAGAGCAAAACTGCTCCCGGCCGGAAGCGGGTTCTGCCCGAGGCTGTGGCAGGACACGCGGAGCGACGCGGCTGCCACGGCAGAGCCGCCCGGAAGCACCAGAGAGGAGACGCGCCGGAGCAGCGCGGAGCACCACCGCCAGCCCCGCACCTGCTAGAACATAACTGCGTGCTTTATTGATATACACAGTAAAGCAGTATATAATACAATAGTAAGGCATATATTTGGTGAAATTCGGTATGTTGTGAAAAATGCAGTAAAACAGAAGTTTATAAAAATAATTAGTAAATGTTACAGTGTTGGTGTTAAAACACAATATATTATGATATCCAAGTAATAAACCAGTACTAACAATGAAACAACATGCCATATGGTATTTATGTATTCAGTTACACTGATTATGTTTTACAGTTTAATACTTGGTTGTTATAAGGAATATGAAATAATTCCCAAATTATGCTTAAAAAAGCAGCGATAAAGCTTTCAACTTTTTAAATATTTTTGACAGACTCACTCCAAAACTAGAATCTAGAAAGTAAAACAAACGAAACCCTGATGAAAACAACCGTGCAATTAATTTTCCTCCAATTTTCTGAAGAGAAAGTTCAACAGAGTAAGAAAGAGTGAGAAAAAGAAAAAAAAAAAAGAAAGAAACCCATCCCTTTCTCTGATCTCATTTTAAACCTTCCGATAAAAAGAAAAAAAAAGACCATGAGAAATGCACAGGATTCCTACTGTAATAAAGTGTTAAAAAAGCTCCTTACTGTGAAAGCAGACGCTTGGGGGGGGTTGTACTGACTTTCTGTAAATTATTATCATTATTATTATTTAAATGATGAGACCTGTTCACACAATGGACGAGTGGTGATGATGTTACATTATCTGTATGTAATTGTCAGGAACACCACAAAACCAAAGTGAGGTAGAAATAGCATGACTAGCCATGTTCAATGTTAACTAGCATTCAAAATAAAATCTTTCCCAAGTTTAATTACACTTCATACAAGAAGAGGTAACAGATTTTTACTCTTGCAATATAAAGTTAGATGGTGTGTTTCTATGTGTCCTAAGATAAAATGAAAAGCTGGTAAAGGAAACGACGTGGTAAAGCTTTTGCTGACAGCACCTCATCCCTAAGCCTACCTCTGACGAGCTGCAGTTAAACTGGCTAATCTGTTTTTGTACCAGTTTCTCCCTTTCTTGCCTCATTGCTAGTTGTGCAGCATCACCTGCAGAGAGAAATGGGGAGGGACAAAGTAGCAGGGTGCTTGTTTTGAGGCTAAACATCTTTTGTGGCGCCTTTGCCTGCTCACCGCAGGCAGGCAGGGAGAGCAGGGAATCCTGCAGAGCCGCTGCCGACGGTCGCTCGCGGGTAAGCCCAGTTACAGCTGCTCGAGCAGGCGGAGACGGAGCGCAGAAATCGGCACCGGCCTGGGAATCGCGGAGCTCTGCGCTCAGCAGGGGCCAAAGATTTTATCTGGTAAGGCAACTTCTACTTTTCCTTACTAATAACATCCAGGAACTTAGTCAGCTGACACACAGGATAGTCACTAAATTCTTCCCTTTCCCTTCCTTTCCTTTTTTTTTAATTATTAATATTATTATTTTTTGCAGGCTGCCATGTAATGTGCTCTTTTGCTTAATTATTGCAGACTAGCTCTATGATTGATGTAATTCTCAATTTTATTGGAAAGAGGTGAAATAACTACCTTCCTTGGAAGTCCAGGAGATTATTATTTTTCTTTTTTTTTAAGCCAGCCCTAGCCAGACAAAAACAACGAGAAATGATGCAAGTTGGCCGTTTTGGTGTTGCTGCAGGAGATACATACTTTTTTTCTTTCTTTTTGATCAGCAAGGAAAAGAACACAGAACATGAATCTCTCTCTGATGCAGTTATAGAGCTGAAATGATGCTAAACAAATGCACTGCCTCAGTATTTTTTGTGTGTTTTTTTTTAAGGGGGTTTCTATAAACAATTATTTTTTATAAAGCACACTTTAGTTTACAATCTTTCTTTATAACTGTTATAAATTTTTTAAACAACCCGAAATGCGTTCCATATAAAGAAATGGCAAGTTATTTAGCTATCAAGATTTTACATGTAGTTTTCTTATATTTTTTGTACAATTGCATAGACGTGTAAAACCTGCCATTGTTAACAAAACAGTAACAGACTTAGGAAACTACTGAAATCTACAGTATAGTACCACTACCCTTCACAAAAATATAGATTTGTTTTCTTGTAAACTCTTACAGTCTAATCCTCTTTGTAGTATGAATGTTATAAAAACCATGCGGGACGCCTGAAGTTGTAAAACACATCTTGCTATTCTAACACCTTGTCGTCCGTCATCACTGTCACTAAGGTCTCCATCGCTCTTCCCAAGTCATCGGCCATGTGGAAAAGGCTCCCTACATTGTTGCCTGCAAGACAAAGCCAAAGAAGAAGACATGGAATGAGCAAGACGAGGCAGCCGGCTGTTAGGAACATCCTGCAGAAAAAGCCAAGCACAAACACGTAACTTTTCATGTGACCACCTCTCCCTGCCTGAGCACGCTGTTTCCAGACGTCTCCTGGAGGAGTAGAATATGTCATTGCTGGCAAAAATTGCCAGTTTTGGAGGAAACTAACCACAATATGAGCTTGAATGGTTAATGAAAACTATACCGAAATACAGCCATGACTATAGGCAATTATTTTTAGAAAGAATAGTTTACAGTCTTGCTTTGTAATTGCTGCATTTTTTTTAAAGAACCTCAAATGTGTTCCATATAAATAAACAGCAAATTATTTAGCTATCCAGATCAGAAAATACAGCTTTTTTTAATAGTTTTTGCATTTGTATAACCTGCTATTTTAACAGAAGCGTAACAGGAAACTACTGAAATGTTCAAAAACCCAGTGCTGATGAAATCGCGTTATTACGAATGTTCGCCAAAAGCAACTCTTAAACACACCAACATCACAGAAAGGTGCCACAAGTGTTTGGTGCTACAGATGTTTAAGCATTCAATATATTGTCAAGGCAAAAAACAAAAAGCAATAGTTACAAACAGATCAGCAGTAAGCAACTAAATCATGAAAAAGTGAAGAACTGAGTGCATATATATCTGCATTGGTATCTAAAATGGTAAAAACTAAATGGTCGCATAATTGAGTTCGTTCTGTGTTTTTAATAGAGTTTATTGCTTTTTGGATAGTAGAGTAGCAAAAACAAAGGTCCAAAATTATCAAGTAACCACCACTCCGTGGTTTATTTATGCATTTATTTGTGCATTTCTCCTCCCCAGTAACCACCATGAAGTCCTGAGACAACATAACCGTGACATGCGAGCCTCCTAAAGGAATGTTTTTGTCTCCAGACCACAATTCTGGAGACGAAATGAGCGAATCCCCCTGGCCCTGACGCCAGCACAGCGGGGAGGAGCCGGGCGGCAGTGCTAGGAGCAGTACGGAGTGAGGGCACCGCTGCCCCACGGCGCGTCTGGGTGCTGCAGCCCTGCGCGCTCGGCGCCTCACGCACCCTCTGGCTCCTCAGGCGCTGTGGTTTAGAACACTGAATGCCAAACGGATTCAACATATTACTGAAGAGGTAAATACATCCATGCCTAGAAAACCATAAAATAGGGACATCCCAGCCAGGGACTGGGCACTCAAGATTTCTTTCATGGACAAGGAGCAACGATCAGACAGAAAGTTTTAAATCAAGCACAAGGCCATTATATTCCACCTAGCACATAATTACATTACGGGACTCGTCGCCACAGGCCGATGTTGAAGACAAACATATAAATGAGCTTTAAAAAAAAAGGAGTTAGAAAGCGGCCACAGAAGAAATGTCTCCAGAGTTATCTGGATGAAAGAATTGCACTCCAGGCGCCCCGGGGCTGCCGGGTGCCAGAAGCGTGACCTAGAGCGCGCAGCACGGGCAGCACTAACTCAACACGACACTCGGCTGCTGTGGCCAGAGAGTGGTGGTTCACTCTGTGGGAGCTACTGTGGTGACAGAGTGTTTGTCTGGAGAAGCACTGGAAGTGTAGGACTGTCTGCCCCCAACTGTGCTTTACAGGGGCACTTTGCAGTGGTTGCATCCCAAGTCCTTGCCGTGGTCTGAGACGAAGGAGCACCCAAAGGAAGGTGAGATAGGCCCAGGGTATCCAGCTCTCATGCAGTACTCACCTGAGAAGCCTAAGCCCGATTGCTAACACTGCCCTATCTACAGGGTCGTTCTCCTTCCTGACACACGGCTTTTCTGAATCGGACTGAAGCTTTTCTGTGGGGTAAATCAAACTCCTGAAAACAAGGTGCAAGCAAAGACCATCCTCTGCCAAATATTCAAGTATTATGGTAGTGGCCATGCATTGCTGACATTGCTATAACACCAGGAAGTCTGGAGTGATGTTAGTTAATATTCATCACCATGAGTGGAAGAGAAAAAAATGACCTGAAAAAATATCCTCAACCATTTATTTCAGGAGAACTATTACTACATTTTACATTCAAATCCTGATTTTTGGAGGGACTTTTTTGAGCATAGTATATTCATAAGATCTTCAAAATAACTACTTGGCAATCTGCCCATTTTCTTATGCATTGTGCTATATGTAGCACAGTTTGCCACATATCAGTACAAAGGATATTTGATTCTAGCATGCTGACTTATTGGTACTAACACTGACACAGATAAAGTAACACATCAAACTGCAATTTCATATATAAATCATTCATGGAGAGCCATTCTACTCATCCTGAACAAAAACTTGTAGCTGGTTCATCACCATGTATAGTAACCGAATATGAAGAATTCCTGCCAAGTTTTGGTTAAAATTTAAAGCTTAATTTAAAGTAAGTATAGGCTACCACATTTATTTTAGATGCAAGGCATAATACCTCTTGCCTGCATTAATGCAGACTGTAATTAAATGCTGGGATAACCTTTCCCATGCAATTCTAGCAATGCTTCTTAATCCGAGTCTGCTACAGTACAGCCCCTCTGGCTGAGATCAGCCCAGCAAACTGCACCAGGAAAAGCAAAGTCATAGGAAAACAGCTACATATTTTTGATGGGAAACACTTAGGTAAGAAACACAACTGCCACGGATTTGGAATGCTTATGTGAAACCCTGACATGCTCAGGTGCATCCACAGCACGTGGCATCAAGGCTTTATTGGAATAACCTCGGTTTAACCTGTGGTATCTACAGCCTCCTCATAGATATTCTGGCCCTGCAAGCTCCCTTTAAGCTGCCTCCAGCCTTCAGAAGAGCCGCTGCCTCCTCCTCCTCACGGCAGTGCCTTCCAGACCAGGCAGACGCTGGGAAGGCAGCAGCAAGCAGCAGCACTGCCTGGGAGCGCGAGCTCCCCCAGCCCGGCTGCCCTGGGCTCCGCTGGGTCTCGAGGCAGGGATGGGACACCCAGACTTTCCAGGGACTCCAGCGCTCCTCACCTCCTGCTCAGGAACGAGGATCACCAAGCCATAGGTTTGTACTAGCCTAAACGACAAACCCTCTCTTCAGAAGATTTAGTACTGTTAATACTAGGGCTTTTTCTTTTTTTCTCAGTCACAGAGCTGTAAAGGTAACAAAGACAAGCTGATTTTACAAAAGAATCTATGTCTAGAAAAAAAAAGCTACAAACTAAACCCACAAAATTGTATATATAAAAGTCTTTCAGAGCTATGAAATTGTCCAATTAACTAAAGCATGGGCCAAGAAAACCTTATGAATCTGGAGATCCTTAGGCATGAAAACTACAGAAATGCGTGCTAGAGCTTTCTCCTCCTCTTTTTTTTTCTTGCTTTTTCTAAATGCTGCTGTGTTTTCTGCAATACCCTTGAGCCTGACGAGCCCCCAGCAGAGCTGCAGAGCACCCCGCTGCGGCGGTGAATCCGCACTCCACCCGCGCTGCTTGCCCAGCACAGGGTATAGTCTCCCCTGCAGAAACGCTGAGCAGTAACATGCTTTTCCCTGAGGTATCTGAGCTCGCGAAACACCAAACACTGCTGATGTGGTTAGTGCTGGCCCCGGGGCTGGCCCCCGTTTGCTCCTGCCCACGTGGCCCTTCCCTCCAGGAGATGAGCGGGAGGCACCACTGGGCCCAGCAACTGCCCCGCTGGGTCAGGACTCACTGGCCTGACGCTGCACTGATTTTTCCACAGCAGCTGAGAGGAAGCCTTCCCTCGCACGGTGTCACTGAGAGCCTCCGCATTTATTTTATGACATCCACCAGGATTCAGGTTTGTGCTTTTTGCCACCTCCCACTGCTCTGCCTCTCAGAGGAAAGGTGCTTGGCACGGGAACAGCAACGAGCGCTCCTGAGGCCTTCGTGGCACCTGGCCTGCTCCCAGCTGGATTTCCTGGGAACTCTTCCTAGGAAATGCTTAGGAAAAGAGGGGGCGAAATGCCCAGGAGCTTCCCCTGCACGTCCTTAGTCTCCAAGCTCCTTATCAATGGCCACGGCTCTTTCCAGTGACCAAACACTCCTTTTTAATGATGTGGTGGGAGAATACCAGTGGTTGAGTGACTGGGTCAGGGTTTTGCCTTTCTTGCACGTGGGAGAAAAAATGAGGACAACCCAGACTATAAATGTTTGGGAACAACATATGCAGGAATCTCCTGACACTGTATGTGTAGTGATGGCATCCCTTTCTTTACGTAAATTGCAGCTAAGGAATTGCTCAGATATATTGCCTGCTTCTAAGTACCTGTGCTTTTTCTGTTGAATAGTGGCTGATTTAGCCTCTGTAACACACAAATATAAGGTACTGCCATTTTTTAATCAAGAAGCATGAGAGAAAGCCCCAAAGAAAGAAGCATGACAGAAAGTCCCAAAAGCACTTCTAAAATACAGACTATAGCTTTCCACTTAATATTACTAATATTTTTAATATAACTCAGCCAAAGATCCATTAATTCAGTTTTTTTTAACATTAAAGCTGAAGTTTTCTCCATGCTTTAGGCACTGAAAGGTTGAGAGCTGATACTGTTTAAGAAAAAAAAATAGCACACTTTGAATTGCAGCAATAAAGCTCAAAATGGATATTGGCAGTTTTAACTTAGTCTTCTAAAATGGAAGAAATTAATACAGGTGTATTTGCTTTGAAAGCAGAGAATATCTATTTCTGCAGACACTATCTACATCATTTCTGGTCACACATGGAAGGACGTGTTTCATATCTGCTGAATTTGCTCTAGAAACTCTACTGGAATTAAGGCCCTTGGGTAAGGACACAATAATTGAATATCAATCTCACACTACAACTTGCCATAGAAATAAATTTGGAGTATTTGGACTCTAAAGAGTGGACAGCAAGCAAATTAAGTGAGCCCAACCCCAAGCAGTCTCTTCTTCAGCTGCCCAGATTTCCAATCCTTCCCCATAAAAGAAAAATCCTTCCCCTGGGTGACTCAAATTTTGATATCCTTACTCATATCGAGCAACACCATGAAATCCATGGGATTACTCATGAAGACAATACCTAATGTGAGCAATGGGATCAAAAGCTGGTCTGGTGGGTTTAAAACTGCATGATCTGACTTTGCACAGATCAATTCGCAAACGAAACAGAAGCTATAAATTAGCTCCTATACTTCATAAGCATGCAGAGCACTGTTTAATATTGAGCTCTGCAAGTTACCAAGCACCCTGGGGAGCTGTGCAGCTAAAACCCTCCTTGTCATGTGTTTCCAGGAGCCCCTCTCTCCACTCCACCCGCCGCACGTTTAAGAGCCGGGCTACCCTTCAACTCCTGCTTCATCCACACCAAGCAGCATCTGTGCAAGAAAGGTCCTTTCACAGCTACCTGCAATCATGCTCAGGCAGCCTCTGAATATTTCATCTTTAATTCTTTTTTTTTCTGGCATCAAATCATCTTTCAAACACTATATTGAGTGGAGAGTGAAGAGCAGCTTCACAGATGAAAAAGAAAGGCTCTCTGGAAATAGTTTAAAAGGTGCTATGAGAGCACAGCACAGCACAGAACATTTCCCTCATTAACAAGCAGCAAAGTACACATTCCAGAGACTATTTTAGCATCAAACTGATCATGTCTAAAGCACACAGGGGATACCATACCATTCACCCTGCTAAATACAATACTGTGGAGTTGGTGAATGTTAGTAGCATTCTTCATTGGGCAATAGTACAGCAGTAAATTAAAACATCTGAATCTCTTATACCTCTCAACTCTCACTGTTCTAAAGCAAAAGGAAAAAATACTGACTGCAGTTGCTGGAGATCATAGTTGGTAAAAATGTATGTTATAAATGTATGCTTAAAAACGGCCTGTATATAAACAGAAGAGTGAGGGCTATGGGCCTCTCTGTTGTGTTTACATACAGCAACACGACAATTACATAAAAGAAGTCAGTGAGAGCAACACATTTGTTGACCACATACAGCCTAAAAAGGCATAGTTTCAATCTACTGTTTTACCCTCCCTTTTACGGAGCTTCCGTCTTTGGGAGGATCCAAGGAAAGGCACATCCCTGAGCTAACGCTGTCTCCCTGGAAAGTTGAGAGGTACAGTATTGTTAGAGCACACACGTGAAATGCACCCAGCAAAACCATCCAAAACTGAACAGGAAATGAAACGACCCGCACAGTTCCACAAAACCAAGCAGACCCGTGGCCGCCGCATGCACGCTGGGCGCAGGAAGCAAGATGTGACAAACAGAAGCCATGGCAGGGAGCCTGCAGCTCACTAACCTCTCTTACTGGCTTTCCAGGGGCATTTCTTCCTTTAGGAACAGAGAGAGGAAGTGGTAAAAATATCAGAAAAGAAACAAAAACACCACACATGAATATATATTTTACACTGTAAGAGACACTCCAAATTCCATGTAGGGATTTAATATAAAATAAACATATTTCTCCTTTAAACAAAGATTGAAAGTGCACTGGAATCCTCTAATGACTCTAATGTGATTCATTGAAAAACAGTTCTGTAACCTGCTGTTTGATTTTAGCCTGACAAATACATTTCTTCAAACTACTAAGACCAATTTATAGCCCTTTCAGTTGAGAACAAGGGTGGCAAACAAAAACCCAAATTCATTTTCTGAGCATGCAGATTTTGTCAATTTGAGTACTTCCACAAACGATGTTATGGGTAAAATCTTGTTTCTCTGACTTCCAAATTAATCCACCTGAACACTTTACAATTTCTTATGCTTTACATGCATATATAGTGCATATATTAATATATACACACACACACAAAACCACATTTTACACTAATGCTATTACACTGGAATATTAACACAATGAAATCCTGTTCTCACATTCAAGAGCAATAAACCACTGAAGATCTTCCCAAGAAGCTGATCTGCACGCACTGTAAAGCTTGGACAGGATGGACAAAGAGGGGAAGAAAAGCAAATAAAGGGGAGAAAAGGGCTGGTTTTTCGTCACGTCTGATGTACTGATGAAAGATGTACTGACGAAACCGAGGAGTCAGCTTCAAGCTGAAACAATGTTCCTTCAAAGCCTTCATAGAAGTTATACTTTTTGATAGATTTTTCTCAAATATTGATTGTAGTTTGTTTAAAAAAAAAAAGTCAGGTGTCAATCAGCAGCAGAAACACCCCCCTCTTTCCCATCAGACAATGAAGTGTCTGTTGCCCTCTTCAGAAGCAGCATTTTCCTCTGTCACTGATACGTTAGATGAGCACTGCCAGACATTTAGTCCTAGTCCAGAAAGGCACTGCTGTAAATGCTGCTCATGAAAGAGGTGGATTTTTGCCCCAGAGTTGTTGTAGACACGGTAACTGTAAACAACGTATGAGGAAATGAAGAGAGAGAGAGAGAAATAGAAATGAAGAAGTAAGTGCAGGTCAGCATAGCAGCAACCTGCCTGCTGCCAAGGGTTCTGTGGGCATCATGCCCTGCTGGAGAAGGCAGGGGAGAAAGACCAGAAACAACTTTGCAGATTTTCTACAGGGGGCAAAAGGGAGGTGAGCAATGGAACGGGCTGAGGTGCTGCACTGAGAACAGAGCTGCAGGGTGGCAGGAAGGAGGGGAGGGCGGAGGGAGGGAGCGGAGTCACTGACGGATCACAGGTTAGAGCCGCTGTTCCAGGACAAAACCAGCTGTCAGAAAAGACAGGGGTAACCTGTGAAGGGCCTTGGCTGTGCAGGTTATGATTTATCAAACGCAGAAGGTTTTTTTCCCTTCCCTCCTCTGTCCCTCTTCCTAGCTTATTTACTAGTAGAAGTGACAATAATAACAGTGGGCTCTAAATCCTTTTGGGCTGTGGGTTTTTATTCTGATTCTAGGAGGAGCTTTGACGATGGCCACAATACCCATGGTGCTGGCACAGCAGTATAGTGTGAGCACTACCTGCACTTTTAAGGACTTGATGAACACAGCCTTACCTGTCCTGTTTCCTGACAGGCTACGCTGTCTCCATGCGGACTTTCAGGCTGTTCTGGCTTGACTGCTTTTATTAACTAAAGGTCTGTTCCTACCCACGCAGGGACTCACTACTTAGGGACTAAGGCTGCTAAAACCCTTCAAAGACCCAGGTGTAGCCCATTCTGCCTGCCTTGCAGGCCTGCCTCGCTAGGGCTTTATACAAGAGTCCCTGCACTGCCTGTGAGTTCCTTTGGTGCCCATCTTGGGAGCTACGCATGCTCAAGAGATGCCTCTCAGGAAAATGAGAGCTTTGCATTGCTAAAAAATGTGCAATGGAAAATCCTTGAAGATTAAAACCCATCGCAATCTTTGGCCTTCTGAGGAAGAGCTCCAGGGTTTCAGCTCATAGGCAGAGACAACCTACAAGCTCTGCCCCAGCATGGGGCAGCTGGCTGCCCAGGAGCCCTGCAGCAGCAAAGAAACCTGGTGCAACACAGTGCAACTGGAGTCTAGAGGAGAGGAGGAGTCGCCTACATTCAAATTCCTTCTGCAGGTCTTCAGAGGTGCCTACCTGTAGATGCACAGGCATCTCAAGGTTCGGCTAGACCAACATAAATATCTACATGAGACAGACTGGACTGCACTGCAAGTGACGGTATTGGGAGCTGGCTGGGAAAGACTGCTCCACAGCAGCCGGCTGCAAAGGGAAGTCTGTGGTGAGCAGTCAGCCCTGGCTTGCCCTGCTGTGAGAGGGGACAGCAGCAGGGAGAGATCAACGCACAGAACTGTTCACTCAAAACAACAACAAAAAAACAGGTGTTTGAGATTCGTAAAATTCATCAGTATGTTCTTGAGTTACACCAGGACTGACGATTATCGGCTGGAAAAGATCCAGTCCTCCCCCTCATTATCCCAGAAGAAATATGTGCAGTGCAGCTCATCCACTAAAGCACTGCTGTGCAGAAGGAGGGTCCTAAGAAATCTCAGTCGGATCCACCATGAGACCCACCTGAAGGGGGTGCCACTTGATTTGCTACTAGTGCTGCCACAGAGCTGGATTTAGCTCCAGGAAGGCTGTTCTGCTGCAGCTTTGCCAAGGCAATCTCCCTCTCTGTGAACTAGCTCCCTGAAGACATGATAGCTTGGACACAAGTGAAGTGTGAAAATATTTTCCTCTCTGCTCATTATCTAGCAGGGTTAAATAAACCAAGCAGGGTTAAATAAACCACAGAGGTGGTATTTAATAGCAGATTTCCACTAAATGTCAGACCTCTGACTCTGACATCTGTTTTGAGTTAGTACAGCAGCTGCTTCTAGCAGCTGCAGCAGTTGTGAATTTGCTGGGAGCAGCAAAGAAAAGGAGGGAATGGATGAGAAACCTTGCAGGTTTAAAGGAAAGAGAAAGGTCCTTAAGCACAGCAATCATCAGGTATTCAGCAGAATTTTGCCCTCCTGAAATGAAACAGCTTTTAGCACCAACAGTCAGCCGTGCAAAGAGACGGAGGACCTGTAGTACTTGTGAGATGCTTAGAACTGCTGGAAGGTTGAGCTGAATTGAAAACAAAGCTACAAAAGCTGTAAAGGAGCACAAGTTACTGGGATCTGCTTATAGAGGCCTATGACATGATTAGTTTCATACAAGTGTTTCTCAGATCAGTTCAAAAAAAATGCTGCCAAGTCCCTGTGCCCTTTTTAACATGGTATATAGAAAAAGCTTAGAGAAACCCACAATCAAAATGCACCCTTTTCCAGGTGAGTGAAGATTGACTACTGCTATATTTTACTGTGTTTTTTTTTCAGAAGTAAGAGCTTTTATCTGCCTTAGGAAACTATTTCACAACCTTATAAAATCTTATTCTCCACATGTTTTTGATGATGTCTATGCTAAATATTTCACTTTGACTTTGCAACCTGTGATGCTTAGTTACACCTTTGTGCACTCTGGCACAAAAATTAATTCTTTTTCTCCACCCGTTACTTATTCAGTTTTTTGAACTTTTCTCATAAATTGAAGTCTCCAGAGCCCAGTTTGCTCTTGTCATACTATTCTGAAATCCTCCAATTTGTTGTTATCTTAATTGTAAGTAGATATCAGAATCATATTCCTGATTCAGAAGGGACGTCACTCCCTACTCTGCGATAAGCTGTGGTTGGAGATTTAGCTTGAAATTTAAATAGCTTATTTTTATAGGCCAAAAGGCAAAATGTGTTTCATGTATTACCAGTAGCTTTCTGGGCCTTTTAATACATTCCCAGATCTCTTCCGTTGATGCTATGCATACGTTTCAGGTTATCTGTATGGACGTTTTCCTGTAGTCAGATCTCATTTTGTTTTTCTCTTCTGATTTTCAATCTATCTCGGTTGGTTTCTATGAATCCTGCGTCCTTTGCAGCTTCTCTCAAACTGCATGGTCTATAATTTCAAAGCAGACTTCTTCTACAGCATTAGTATAGAAGCACACAGCTATTTCTAATACTAATCAACTTTGACCACTTAATCTATCTTCCTTTTAGTTTCAATTTTCAAAGATAGCATGCATTGCATGTGGCAGCTGGCACAAGTTGTTTGAATTCCTCCTCCAAATAAAATTTCACAAGCTCCTGTATGGAAATGTACTTCTGAATGGCAAATTGGGATAACGGAGTTTCTTGCCTCTGGTACTTTTGTAATTCAACTTAGTAAGAATTAATACAGGAAAATCTATTCTTCGCAGATCTGTGCTCACTGCTTTTTTGGGCTCATTGTTCTTTTTCCTCAGTCTGCACTAACAGCTTGAGATTTGATGCAACCTGTAATGGAAAGAAATACTGCAGCGCTCCTGAATCTGCTGGAAGCGGCTGTTTTTTCAGGCTGCTTTGCAGATCACTTCAGCCTTTCCACAATTACACTTCCATCCTTTAATACACATTTGGAAATCTGAGATATAGATTTCCATGTCTTAAAAGCAAACCAGCTCCTGATTCAGCGCTTCGTTGCAACCAGTCAGCCTTGCTTCCCCTTCTCCTTTCTGCATGTTCATAAACCATGCACAGAAGCCGTGGTACAGATGGATGCTGACTGAAGGGAGCAATAACAGGCAAATCGTCTGTGGGTATAAGCTCTGCTTAGGCAATGCCCGTTGATTATCAGTTATTCATTAAAATGGGAATGGAAGGAAAATCCTATAATTGAAATTTGCATAAAACCTCAGCAAAATTGACAATGTCAGGAGCCTTCTGATTCATGTGGTAACTGGAATGCCATTTGAATTGCCCCTATGACAAATTAGATTTTTCCCAGAGAAGGTCTGACCCTTCCTATTCTTCAGTCAGAAGCAATTAGACAAACCCAGCATTCATGCAAATGCCTGCGACTGTATCGCGAAGAATAGAGAAACCTAATGGAATGAGGCCCTAATCTCCTGAAGTAAAAACGTTAAGATAAACTTCACAAAAGAGTGAATGACTTTTTCTCTGAAATGGGCTGATCCTATGTTGTGTAGCTAAAGAGAATGGAAAGGATAGATTTTGTGCCAGCCCCACAGTGATTTAACCAGGTCATAAAAGAGAAGCTCTGTGTGAAGCCTGGTCCATCTGAGTGCTGATACCTCCTACTGCAGGAGAAGCTCCTCTAACCCTGAGGACAACCTGCTCTGCTGGAGAGGACAAAGGATGATGACTGGCCAGTTAGACGGTCCCTCCTCTTTGCCTGCAGCACCACATGCAGCTAAGAATATTTTGCCCCGCTAGTCAGGGCGGAACCTGGGAACAAACAGTATTTGTGCTTCTGAAAACTTGCCATCAGTGGCGTGTAGCTTCACGGACAAGGAAGGTTACAGAGTCCATGAATGCCAAGAAATGCGGAGAAGTCTCTCTCTGTACAGACCAAAGACAGAAAATAAAGGTATTTTACTTTAAGCAGTGGGAAACTGGAGTGCTCTGCATCAGTCAATCTGTGGCAATAAATTGTTAGCTGAGCGTACTAATTCCCTGTCGGTTCCATTTGTCTCAGCAGGAGTTTGTCCCAGCCAGTACTTTTCCGCTTTTGCTTGCATCGCCTCTTCATGCAGAATATATTCTTGCAATCTTTTTTAGTGATGTTTGTGATGATCACATAATACACTTCTAGCAGAGGTATCGAACAGAGGAACAAAATAAAGGAATGCATTCATTCTACTTAGGTAGATTACTGTGCACCACTGGAATGCAGATACAAGAATTTACAACTTTTTGAATTAATATATTAACTAACGCTAAAAAAATCTTTTTTTTTTGCACTAGATACTGTATATTCTGTGATCCTTATTGACAAAAGATGGTATTTTTAAATAAAAAATAAAATTAAAACCGTTTTTACTCTTTGTTGGCAGGGGGTGGTATTTTAGGGACTGATCACTACCTATTTATAGATGGCAAAATAATCACTGTATTTTAGATAAATCATTCATTACCTGTTTTTAAATTGTTCTTACTGTACTTTAAATCAGGCTTAAAAAACTTTTTGCCAATGTTGTTGGCTATGATTACAAATTAGATACTGCACAGAAGGGTAAGTGTTTTAACACACGGGCATCTGTAGCCGGATTCATATGACTATCTAAGATCTCCTAAATATATTTAAAAAATGATGATCACTGCTAAGAAAACACTATATATTTGAACCTTGTGTATACAGCAACTTTAAAAAAATAAGTCCACTTTTATCCACATGTCAGTATTTCAAAAATAATTTCTCTGTTGTCTTAGTTGACCATTTTCTAGTTAAAGTGAGGCCTGGACCCATTTTCTCATATAATGCTGAGATTATACTATATTTCTTTTTTGAATAATATTTTTCTACACTTTTATTTTTTGATTTATAGTAGTTATACAGATTTCCTATCATGTCTCCACTATTCACATAGGATGATGGAAAATGATGTCCTATCTCTGCAAGTCCAGTGTGATGGTTAAGACACTTCTCTAATAAAGGAGATCCTTTGTGTGCCATGTGCCACCCAAAGAAGGCCTGCAGGAGTCAGTCTGTGTGCCCACTGACACCCTCTCAGTAGGGTGCAAACAGACATCGGGACTTTCTTTTGCAGAGTTTTATGTCTCTGAGCCTTCTTCCACCACTACAGGTAGCTAAGCTAAACAGCTCCTGTTAGGAATCTAAGCAAGTTTTTCTTGGTAGCAGGACTCAAAAGATACCTACTGTAGATGGGAGAAAAAAAAAAAAAGCTGAAAAAAAACAAATTCCAGTAGTACTAATGCTTATCTTTAGGAAACAACAACAAGAATGCACTTTAATGAAACTGAAACACAAGGAAATGTTGTGTCTGCACATCCGAGCAATTCATTTTTTGCCTTGATCACTCTGGAACTAAATGCTAAAAGTTTGAGAGTTTTCACTCAGAACTTCCGTATTATTCCAAATGGCATTCTATTGGCAAAGGGCAAAGGAATGAGGAAAATGTATTCGGACATGCATTAAAACCAAATCAGCAAGTAGATAGGCTGAAAAGGAAAAAGCAAAGGAAAGGAAATGTCTCAGAAAGGAGATTGTTTCATCCACTGGGTTTCATGCATCGGGTAACCTTCACCTGTGGAGGAAGCTTAAGATGTAAGAGGTGGAGGTTATTTCTCCACTCTAAACAAGCCAGGCTATTCTACGTATAGTGCTTAAATGAAAACAAAGAGCAACAGTAAAACAAAACCGAAAAACAACTCCAACCGAAGAGAAAAAAAAAAAAGGCATTTTTTTTTCTACTCTCCCTAAAGCACCCATGACCTAGTCTGTACTCAAAAGAGTGTCCCCCCCACCTGCTGGCAGGTGCCCGGGGCACCAGTGCTTACCTCTGGTGCTTGGGAAGGAGTTATTAAGCTGCTCCATCACTTCCTCCAAACCTGTGCTTGTGTCCTGGGGAGGGCTGAGCAGCTCATCCTCACCTGCAAAGCAAAGCCCCATCATTTAGCCATGTGTTAACACCTTAGTCCTGCACACGTCCTGCATGAGGCTAAGGGTGTTCACTTAAAACATAATAATGCTTCTCTCTCTTTTTTCTTTAAGAAGCTGAGTAAAAATAAGTGATTATTTTAATCACAAAGCTGTTTTTAATACATCAAAAATTTAAGAAATAACATATTCCAGTAAAAGAAGTGGGGTAAAATATCTGCTTAGGAGCACTTAGTTCATATACATGACAGTCCTGCTTCAGCTTCTCTTATTCTGATAATGGCACAAGAAATTGCTATTTTGAGTTCTGCTATTGAGCAGCTCTCTAATAGTGCTGGATTCATGTTAGCATTGCTTGGGCTAGCTGGGTAAATCAGTAGAAACCAGGATTCTCATCTGCATCAGTATTAATATTTCTGACAGTTTAACTGCATCAGGCTGGCGCTCCAAGAACATTCAATTGTAGTGTAAAAAGGGTTTAGCCGCAGTTTAATAAAGCAGAATACATTTCTCCCACTGAATAATTTCTATAACCTGATTATAGGGCAGTTGCTTAATGGGAAATTCAATGTATTTTATTTTCACTTCTTTTTGGGCATGATTTCAGATAATCAAAATCCATCTGCTGGCTTTAATGCAGACCCTAGCCTCCAATAGTAACAAAGCATCTGGAAAGGGAGTATATCTAAGGAATACACTGAGATTCTCCTTTTTTACTAGATTTCTTTTATCCCTATTCAAACACTACAGCAGTTTTGCCTGCTATAGCAACCACAGAGAAATGCGTCCTTATTTCAAGAATGACTAATGGCCCCATATTCAAGATGAGTAATAAATTAACTGATTTTCTGTTAGCATTAATATTCTATAAACACTTCTGGTGCTCCACGTTAGGGGAATCTCTACTAACAGAGATACTAAAGGAGTCCTTCAGGGCTGTGTTTACTCCCTGTTATTATCAGGCTTGGCACCTTCCTCGCCTTGGGGGCAGGAGTATCACAAGGCTCACTGGCCAAGAGTTAATTGACCTGCTACCTTTGGCAGCAGTAAAAGAAGTGGGGTAAAATGTCTGTGAGCAGCACTCAGTTCATTAAGCGGTGGTTCTTGTATCGACTGTCTTTCTGTTATTATTTGTGTAAGAAAGAGCTGTTGTGAGCACTACTGATCAGCTTCCTAGTCGTGCTGGCTTCACAAATTACAAACAAATCAGGTCACTCCATAAACTGCACTTGTATCATGTAGGCTACCAACCTCCGTCCTGTGCGTTAACAAAACAAATGTCACAGCCAAAAACTCAGAACGAGACCTCACTGTTTCTACCCAGGTTGTGCATGGAACCAGCGTGCCTGCAGGAAACACCATGTGCCCCCACAGAGCAGAAGGACAGGTCAGTGGGTCCCGTGGCCCGGCCAGCAAGAACTCCCCTGGGCAAAGCGAGCTGAGCTGTGCCGGCAAGCAGGGCTACAAACCGAGCTGTGCAACCCCAGGGAATGCGGTGCCTTTGTGCTATTTTTATTCCTTTTCCTTCAAAGATTTTTCTGAGAGCTTCCTTGTAAAGAGCATAACGACAGACGTCAGACAAGCAGCCCAATGAAACAGAAGATTCCTTTAGCCCTCAATTACTGGTCTTAACCCAAGCCAAGCTTCCCTATCTGTGTTTCTAAAAATGGCTTGAAACATCAGATGGAGCTCCAATGTTTTGGGGGTACCTGAGGGAATATAAGATGAGCAACAAGCTCTTGGCTCA